ATAAAAGAAAAAATTTACAATCCTACCACCTAAAGAAAGCTATGGTTAATATTTTGGTATTTTCATGTGAGTCCTTCTGATCCATTTCCCATGCATAGATGATATCCATGTTACATGTAATTTTTTCATTACATAGTAGTATCATTGTATATGCTGTCCTGTGGCCTGCTTCTTTCACTTAATTATATATTGTGAACATTTTCCTATGCAGTAGATAGCCTTTTACCACAAGCTTTATGATGTCTATGTAGCATTTCATCAAGTGCATGGGTCATAATTTACCTAGTCAGCTCCTGTTCAGCAATTCGGTGCTTTCCAGCCATTGTGTTTTTGCTTCGTTCTGCCTGCCATGATAAGCTGTGCTGCAATGAGCATCTCTGTGCAGTGCCCGGAGCATTCCTAGAGTGCTTTTCTGACTCCTCTTTCACACAGGTACATCGGCCCCAGCACCGTGTTTGGCTCCAGTGGTAAGCTTGCCAATGTGGAGCAGTGGCGATGTGTCTCCATCCTCCGGAGTCACTCAGGCGGTGAGTGGGGCTGCCTGTTGGGGTGGGCGGCCCCAGCAGCTGTCAGCCCCTGTGGACTATTTTGGTCCTTAAAGCAGCCCTGTGTCTGGGTCGTCCCTCCCCATTACCATTGGTCACACCCTGCCTGTTCCTCAAGGTCTGTGCAGTCACCATCCCCACTGCCTGCCTCCAGCTGCATTCAGTGCCCCCACTCCTGCCCTCATGGGGTATATGTTTATATCTTTAATGTAGAACTCCCCACGTTCTGCTGTTTATCCTGGTGAACTGAATCACTACCTTCATCAGTGGATCACTAAGTCTGTAAGCGCACTTTATTTATTCCACAGAAACCAGCACACAGGGGCCCAATGAAAAGTTTTTTACTTGACCTTGAGTATGTTTATAAAATGTTGTAAATAGACTTGGAATAGAAAGAGACACATTTTACAGATTTGGACTAAAGAGGAGGAAGGTCAGTCAGTCGATAGCAGTCTAAAGCCATGTGCTGTACACTTGTTTTGCTGCCAGGGATACCAGAGAAAAGCCTATGGTCTAACCCAGGAATGGCCTGAAGGGTTTCCCAGGCAGGGGAACAGCAAAAGTGAGAAAGGCTTCATGTGACTGGTGATTTGGCAGAATTTTACCATTGTTGGATCTTTACATACAAGGCAGGGAGCAGCACGGAGTGGGGCTGGCCGAATGTGCAGGGACCAGGACATGAAAGGCTCGTGCTCCTTGTTAATGAGGGTGTCCTTTATTGTAGAATAGACAGGGAGCCATTAAAAACTTTGAAGAGGAAGATTCTGACAGATCTGGGGGAAAAGAGGTTATTTCAGGCATTAAGATGAAAACTTCAAGGGCCTGAACTAGGCCTGTGATAATTGTGATAGAGAAAAGACGGATTTGGGGGAATTTTTCTGACAAAGCGAGAGGAGGGATGAGGGCGATTTCTAGCTGGGTGCCTGGCTAGCCGATGGTCTCTTCTGAGACCATAACGAAAATAGGCTCATGGGGATGGACACCAATTCAGTGTGGGATGTGCCGAGTTTGAGGGGGTCAGGGAGAGAATGTCAAGAGACTCTTGGATTTGAGCCTGAAGCTTTGGTGGAAGATGGGACAGGAGCAAGAGGTTTAGAAGGCATCATCTGTAATTCATTGGCAGTATGCTCAGCAAATACTCCTCAGACACTTCGAAGGTGAACAAACCCACCTCTTGGTGACCAAATTGATTCCATATTTGGGAAAACTGACAGTAGCATTGTGTTATTGTTGATAACAGTGAAAGTGTGTAACTTACTTTTATTCATAGCTGCTCACAGTGGAATCTAGTTGGGCTTCTGGAACTTCAGCACATGTGTCTATGAGGGTATTCAAGTGTGGGGTGGAGCCTCGGGGTGGACTTTTATGAGGCCCCTAACCTGAGGCTCAGGTTGAGCTACAACTTCAACCTCTGTTTTGGCCTACCACCCCAGGGATGTCTTTTACCAGGCAGGTAGGGTTGCCCGCCTTCACTAGGGATACCTGCTACTTCTTATTCAATGGTCCTGGTAGTGGGTATGGGTAGAACCATTTAAGAAGAAAAAATTAGTGAAAAAGCAGAAATAAATGAATAGGAAGCACTGGGTCTTTGAAAGCAAAATTTGAAAAATATCTACTTGGCATATTTAATCAGGGGGTAGGAAAGAAAGCCTTGATGAAATTAGAAGTAAACGGTCTAGAAAAACATTTAACCTAGAGGAATATCATCAAAGAGTGCAAAATGTAATGTTTTTAGTATTAAACTAAAAACAAAACAAAATACTAAAAGAATATAATTTTCTAGAAAATACAAGTTTTCAAAATTGATACCATAAGGTTAGGAAAAACTGAACAAAGTAGTGACGAATGAAGAAGTTGGGAGCTGCCTTCGAAAATGGTTCCTGTGTCTAAATTATTTTTTGATGTATTGTTTTAAGCTTTTAAGAAAAGTTATTCTAGAACATAGAAATATTTATTCTTTAAAGGAAGCTATAACCCTGTTTCCAAANCATTTCAGACTTGGGTCTCAAAGCATCCCGTCAGCTGTGGAAACAGCGGTGGACTCCAGGCAGCACCAGGAAAGGGAAGGAAACCCCAGCAGGGACTGTGCTGTTCTCCTTGGTTGCTAGGGTGCCCATACACAGACTTGAAAAGGTTCTGGGACATGGGCTTTTCCAGTCTCTTCATTTATAAATGTGGGTCCTGGGTCCTGTGCAGGAATGAAGAACTTCTAGGGGCCCCTGGTGGATCTGTATTAGAGGCCAGACCAGAGCTTGGCCCCCTCCTGATCCTAGTCCAGAGTTCTTTTCATAAAGTCACGTTGGTGTCAGCATACAACTAAATCCACATTCTTTTTGATCCCCATCAGTACTTGTTTTTCTTGATCTTCTCTGTAACTATTAATAATTCAAATTCAGTCTCCTCTGAGCTAATCAATTATGGTTTATGAAAGCTAAACTTAGGGTTTATGAGGATTATGTCTCATAGTCAATAGTCTACGCCTTGCACATTGAGTTATTTCTGCTCCTTCATTCCAGGACAGGATTCTGGGAAGGTTGTGATCTGGAATATGTCTCCAGTCCTCCAGGAGGATGACGAGAAGGATGAAAATATTCCCAAGATGCTTTGCCAGATGGACAATCACTTAGGTATTACAGAGTGGCCCTTTGCAGGCTTTGCGTGTTGGCAGAGTGCCCAAGGTTAGCACATGTGTTTGTAATTAGAAAGATAAGGCCCCGTGCGGCGGTAACTCCCCTCGGCCTGCTGTCTGAAGGCACAGATGTTGGCTGCACACCTGGGTGAGTTATTCGGCAGAAGACTCGGCCCGCCCACAGAACCATCTTTGGACAGTCTGCAGGTACCTCTGGTGATTTCCTGCTCATGAGTCGTTACTGCCTGATTCCATGGGGCTTTGGGGCCAGCGACCTGGAAGCAGTAGGATTCTGGGGAAGGGTGTGTAAATGACAACTCACCAAATGTCTCAGATTGGCACCGTGTCATTCAGAGGCCCTCTGCCAGGACCCTTTTGGCCACTGAACAGTGTTATGATTTACTTTCCTGCGTTAGTGGCTTAGTTTACTGCTCCTGAGCATCAGGGTGACTGTACTGCCTCTGGTTTCCAACTTAGCTGCCTCTCCTGAGGTACTCCATTAACAGTTATGTCCCCTTCCTTTGCTCTGTGTGTTCTTGCACTCCCAACATGCCTCTCGGCATCCTCCAATGTGGAGCACAAGTCACTCACAGGCCATGTGTGGGCCACAACTTGGATAGTGTCCCTCATAGTGCAGGGCTCCCAAAGGTTGAACTGTGAGTGTTCCCAGAGGCTCCAGCCCATCGGGGGCCGGGAGGAATTTCTTTTGGTCTCAGTTTATGAGTGCAGGATCAATCAACCTGCAGTACCGACAAGTCTGGAAAATCCGAATTTAAAAGGGCTAACAGATGGGGTGAAGTAAGAGTTTTGTGTCATACCAAGCTGCTTCCCTGAAAGTTCTAGAAAAGGCATCTTGGCTTTTTTAGCACATGTCTTCATTTCAAGAATTATCCCTACTCAGAAATACATCTCATCATTACACAGCCCTTTTGAAATAATGAGATTTGGGTATTTATCAGTTTTCATGGAAATAAACCTCTTCCTACTGACTATTTCATCTAGCACTAACACTTCTCAGGTTATGTAGCCTTTCCCCTTCCAGACTCTGTTCTAATAATTTGTTACTACAGCACAAGTAGGTTAGTGTTTAAACTGAATTGTTCTTCTGGGGCTTTCACACAGTAGATGCCTTGAATAGATTAGATAGATTAGATATTATAAACCCTTTGCATCTTGCCAGACTCTGTATAAAGCAAATGGTTATGGCTATTGGATTTTCATCACCCTATTTTTTTTTCTTCCCAGCATGTGTGAACTGTGTGCGGTGGTCAAACAGTGGGATGTATTTAGCTTCTGGGGGAGATGACAAACTGATTATGGTGTGGAAACGGGCTACGTAAGCATCATTTTCCTTTCTTCAACATTTTATTTTTAGAAGCTTCTTTGCTGGTCTTTATCACAGTCACTTTACCCACCCTGGCACTGAAGTCCCCAGAGTCCTGACTTCATAAAGGTCAGGAAGCATAAGTAGGCCAGGAGAATCTGGGGGCTGACCGGGGAGTCCAGAGGCTACCCCCCTGCCTAGTAACCTGCTCAGCCTACCCTCCCAAGACTGCAGGGTTTCCACTTGAAAAGGAAGGGCAAATCCCTTCCAGTGCTGACATTGGTGGGCTTGGTTTGTTTTGTATTTCAAATGAAATTTCCCAACATACAAAGTGGTTAAAAGTCAAGGTGTTCTTATGGAATCTGGGGCAGGGGCTCCAGAGCCCACCCTCTTTGCCACTCACCTCATTGTCAGCCTCATCCTAGGCTCTAAGGAGCCCTCCCATTGAAAGCCCCTGTTCTGCACCAACGATGAACTAACCATCACCTGGAAAAAACTTTTTCTTACACCGAGGCAGAGTTCTCCGGGTGGGTCCTGGGACTCTTCCACAGCCAGCTTCCCAGGTGACTCTGGGTTCAGTCAAGCTGGGGACTCAGACCTACCTCACTGCTTAGCCAGAGTGTCCCTATGGCCGTGGCTTCGAGAGCAGAGCAAGCT